GAGCGCGCCGGCCATCGTCTCTATGCTCGCAGATAAAAGTTATCGGTTGATCGGTTTATCGGTTTATCAACCGATAAACCGATCTAATCAAATTGGTTTATCTGTCGATTTGCCGATAAACCGATCAACCGATAAATTCTGTATCGGTTTATCGGTTTATCGGTCGGATGGATTTCCGGAGGCCGTTGCCTCTGCACTCTATGTATACATACACACACATATACGTATATTTATGCGTGTCTATATAAATGCACAAGGAAAATATTGAGACGAGGAGGAGGAGGAGGAGGAGGAGGAGAAATATGAGGAGGAGGAGGAGGAGGAGGAGGAGGAGGAGGAGCACCAGAGGAGGAGGAGGAGGAGGAGGAGGAGGAGGAGGAGGAGGAGGAATGAGGAGGAAAGATGATAAAGGAGGAGGAGGAGGAGGAATAATATGATGAGAAGGAGGAGGGCGGGGGAGGAGGAGTAAGGGGGGCGTGCGGAACAGTGGCGATGTCACCGGCTCCAGCCAGGCTGCTCTAATGGGGCCAGCCCGCAACGCATTACCGATGTATGGGCGATGCGGTGCGATCTCGAACACGAGTTTCTCTGTCACGACTTTGCCGATGCATCGTCCGTCCGCCCCTCTGTCGCGGTCCGCCCGCCCGCCCACTAGGGTCCGCACGTATGTCTTTCTCGCTTCTCTGGCCTTCCGCGCGGGCGCAGGGTTCTTTGCCTCTATGTACGACGCGAGGACGGTGGCCGTGCAGCTTGACACCTTCGAGTTCACGCCCGGCTACCCCCTGAAGGAGACTTCGCGCGCGTGAAGTCGGCGCAGAGCGTGCTTTCCCTTCTTCCGTCACTCCCTTGCTACTGATGCTCCTCTCTTGTTGCAGCTCCTGCTGCTCATCCTGCGCCTGCTGCTGTTGCTGTTCCTGCTCGAAGCACTAAATCGAGTCCACGAGCTCGAAAGCCACTCGCACACGTCCAGCGCCGAGACCACTGCCAACACCAGTTGGCATGTGTTGCGATGCCGCTGTCAGTAGCTCGTATGACTGCCGCTTTGCGATGTCCTGCTCCCGCTCCCCCTTCCGCTCCCGCTCCCGTTCCCGCCCCTTCTCCTCCCGTCAGGTCAGGTCCTAAGCCGTGCGTAGGTAAGACGCGTTGGCAGAATCAGAGGGATGATTACAGGACCCATGCTCGGTGGAGCGCCTACCCATGGATATCAAAGCCCTCCAGGCCGCGAGCGGGCGAAGCCAGAAAAACGGAGCGCATCACGACACTAACGGAGAGACGGAACTCATCTCCAACTTCCTCGCGGAAGGACGAACACGAGGAAATCTTGGAACTTTTGACCCCGCCTCCCCTGCAGATTCAAAGTTGGTCGTAGGCACTGGGCAGAGCGGGCCTGAGAGGACAAAAACTCTGGGGGGATGGGGGGGCAAGCACGGGGTCGAACAAGAAAGGGCATCATTTTCGTGTCCCTCGTGCCTCCTCTCTCTTCCCTTTTCCTTCGGTGCTCCTCCCTCCTCCCTTCATGTCCTTATTATCTCCTCCCGCCCAGGTCCCTCTCGCTTCTTTTTGTTGTTTCCCTCCTCCCTTCTCCTCCTCCCCCTCCTCCTCCTCCTCCCTCCTCCCTCCTCCCTCCTCCCTCCTCCCTCCTCCCTCCTCTCTCCTCCCTCCTCTCTCTCTCTCCCTCCTCCCTCCTCCCTCCTCCCTCCTCCTCCCTCCTCCCTCCTCCCTCCTCCCTCCTCCCTCCTCCCTCCTCTCCCTCTTCCTCTTCCCTCCTCCCGCTTCCTTCCCGCCTCACTCATCTCTCCCCCGTCCCTTCTTTCCTCCTTCTTTCCTGAATCTACCCGTGCTTCGCATTTTGCGTGCCGCTTGATGCGAAGTTGGGTGACCTGGGTTCAGGCTCGGGGACTTTGCCCTTGATTTGCCTGAAGGTCTTCGCCCCGTGCCGACGGCCACCTTTCCTGATTTGCTCGATGCCCTGCTGGTTGGCTGATTTGTTAGTTGGCTTCCTGCGCAATCGCCCAGGGGGAGGGGAGAGCCATGGGAAGAGGCGGAGGGGATGAACTCCGAGAATTTGCTCAAGGGCTCGCGGGACGTCGCTTGTTCTCGAAGGAAACCGGGAATTCACTCAGGAGTTCGTATAGAAGGCGTTCCATTCCTGCAGGAGCTTGTGCTAGAGAGAGAATCCAAGAACTTGTTCGTTCTCGATGGAATGCCTTCAGGTGCTCGTTCTCGAAGGACATCCAGGATTCGCGAAGTGCCCAGAATGCACTCAGGAACTCGTTCTCATGGAACATCATTCATGAGCCTGATCCCCAGCAATCATTCAGAAATTTGTTTTCGATGGCATTCCTCGCCCTGCAAGCGCGAGCCAATCGTATTGTACGAGGGGCCGTGCCTGCGCGAGCGTGGACCCATCGTATTTGACATGGGGTCGTGGTGCTTGGGGAGCAGATCCAGACGGGAAGCACAACACAGTTTTCTTTGGACCACATTAACACGCGGGGCAAATCCCTACTGGCCAGATGACCAGAGCATTTCTATTGTCGACCTTGAGCAGTTGTCGACGACAGTCTAAGAGGACCCTAGAGAGAGATCGAGCGAGAGAGAGAGAGAGAGAGGCAATACAGGTCAACATTCTCCAGGGGGGCTCCCAGGATTGTCTCAGAGGCCTTGAGCACGAGATACCAGGGCGCAAGAGGCGCCTGGAGGCCCTAGAGAAGACGTAAAAGGCGCCACGCGACACTCCTTCGGACAGCCCACATCGTCGAACACATTTTTCTGCGCATTCGGCTGCTCGGCGGCCCATCTAACTATCTGAACACAGGTAGGACGATTTCTGAGGCAGGCGCCCAGCGCTTTTCACTGTTCTCTTCCTCTCTCGTCCTCTCTCGTCCTCCTCCTCTCTCGTCCTCCTCCTCCTCCTCCTCCTCCTCCTCCTCCTCCTCCTCCTCCTCCTCCTCCTCCTCCCCTCATGCAACGATGCCTGAGCGCACATTGTTCCAGCTCCAGTCCGTGCCCCGCATGGCGGCCGAACTCTGTTCGGTCGGACCCTAAAGTAACGTCGGCTGCTCGGCTCAATATGCCTACAAGAGGGCTTCAGAGGCTGCAGGCCAGCGCAGAGTTGTCCAAGAGGTCCACCGGAGGGCGCCAAGACGCCCAGAGGGCCCCAAGATGGCCCAAGGGAGGCCCGAGAGGGCCTCAAGACGTTTCAAGGCCGAGGCCGCCCAACGCGCGCCAAGAGGCTGGAGGAAGCGCGTGAGAGGCATCGACAGACGCCCCAAGATGTGCGAAGAACGGCCAAAGCGACCGCAAGCAGCGCCGCACAGCGGCAAGCACTGGCGAGCCGTAGCAAGCAATCAAGCAAGCAGCAAGCATAAGCAATCAACACTCAGCAGCAAGCTGCCTTAAAGCCATTTCCCGTACGGACGAGGGGTCGTGATCTCGAGGGCACGGGCCCACAGTTTCCCACGAGGGGTCGTGGCCCTCGGGTGTGCGGACCTACAGTTTTTTAGCGAGGGGGGCGTGGCCCTTGGGAGCACGGGATGTTTTGGGTTGCCAGCGCTGTGGGGGTTCGTCATCACGAGACCTCGAAGCCATGGTGTTTTGCGTGGGATCGAGGTCTTCGAAGCGCAATTATCTTGTATTGTGACGTGTCCCAGGGTGTCCAGAGGTTCTGAGCATGCGGTTCGGAGGGGGGAAAGCGGGCTCGGCGAGACCAGGGGGAATGGCGCTGGCTCAGGACTCTCAGCAGACTTAAACATGCTGAGCAACTTTGAGTTTCTGAGGCATCAGTGAGCTCAGCAGGGGTCACGGCTGCAGCGAGTTACAACACCTGAACAAATATTGCGATGTTGCAGATTGCCATCTTGCGCTGCCAGGTTGCAACGATGCTCTGCCACCAAAGCCTCAGCCGCGGCGCAGCCTCATGCCCCTGCCCACGGGGAGTTGGCGGGCATACATTCCTGCCAGTTCGTTGCCCAAGGAAGGCCCGCTTGTGCTCTCTGCCAGCGCGTTGCCCTCTCTCTCCCGAGGGATCTCGTCTTGCCTGTGCAGCAGGACCCTCGCACCAGTCTCCAGCTTGAGTATCGTGTTGGAGCTCATGGTTTGAGTCTTCCAGTTTTGTGGGACGATATATTTGTAGGTCATACCCTCGGTATGCCAGTTGATCGCAAGCTCAGCCAGGTGGCGGGCCAGCGACAGGCTGCGAGGCGCCACGACTGTTCACTCCTCCTGCTCGTTCTTCTTCTCCACCCTATTTCTCGACCTTGCTTATCCTCTGACCTCTGTCGTCCCTCCCCTTCTCTTCCTCCTCATCCCCCTGCCCTCTGCATTCTCTCTCCTCCCAACTTTCTTCCTTTTCCCGCCCTGTTTCGTCCACCCTCCTCCCTCCTCGCTCCTTGCTCCACCCTCTTTGCTCCTCGCTCCTCCATCCTTTGTCCTCCCTCTCCTCCCGCGCTCGTCGTCGTCGTCGTCGTTGTCGTCGTCAGCGGCGGCGGCGGCGTCGTCGTCGTCGTCGTCGCTGCCGCCGCCGCCGCCGTCGTCAGCGTCGTCGTCGTCGTCGTCGTCGTCGCCTTTCTCCTCCTGCTCCTGTTCCTGCTCCTGCTCCTGCTCCTCTCCCTCCTTCTCCTCCTCCACCTCCTCCTCTTCCTCCTCGTCTTCCTCCGCCTCCTCCTCTTCCTCCTCCCCTTCCTTCCCCTCCTTTTCATTCTTCTCCCCGACGACTGTGACGTCGCCAGCAGAGGCGTCTGACAGAGGCGTCCTTCGTTCGTGGAGGTTGCTGGAAGCTTTAGACCACAAAGGGCCAACAATGTCCGGGGATCAAAGCGGGAAAGGGGAGAAAGTCCGACAGCCTCGATTTTTAGATCCTTCGAGCCTTTTTGAGATGGCGGCGGTGGCGGCGGCGGCGCCAGGCGCAGGCCGAGGAGGCGCGCTCCGATGATCTCGCGCCGCAGCCTGCCCTTGGCAGGGCCGCTGGCCACCCCCAGGGCGCCAGAGCTGGCCCGAAGGCCGCCGTCCGTCGCCGTCGTCTTCATCGCCGTCGCTGTCGTAGGGGAAAGGGAGAAGAAGAGGAAGGGGGAGGAGGAGGAGGAGGCGGAGGAGGAGGAGGAGGAGGAGGAGGAGGAATAATAGGAGGAGGGGAGGACGAGGAGGAGGAGGAGGAGGAGGAGGAGGAGGAGGAGGAAGAGGAGGAAGAGGAGAAGGGGGAGGAGGGTGAAGGATTTTTTGGAGCTACATATACCAGCGTCTCATCGGCACTTAGGCTACCCCAGGTGCTAAGGCCAGATAACACCCATGGCCAGCCTGCATTTGATTGTCCAGTCACCGCTTTCTCTGACCCACAGGAAAATGAGTGACATTTGTAGACACAGCCTTTTTCCATGCCTTCAGCAGACCAGCCAACATCTCTTGCCAGCCTACAGTATGCCCTTTGCACCAGCATTTTCCATTTACCGGAACCCTTAGATGGAAGCATGTTGCACATATTTTTTGTTTGCTTCCATGCCAAGGTTTATCTGTGTCGCATAAAGGTACACTATGTTTTCTGTACCTGGCGGGCGCCTACTTAATGTTCTCCATTGCCGCCCACTCTCATTACATCTGTTTCTGCGGCGCCCGCCAGTCACCAGTGTTCCGAGTTGTTGATTGTTCTTGTTTGTATGTGTATGTGTATGTATGTGTGTGTGTGTGTGTGTGTGCCCGCACCTGCAATAATGCGACAGGCTCGTTCCTGACGCTAGTCGAACGTAAGAAAAAGAGGAGGAGGAGGAGGGAAAGGAGGAGGAGGAGGAGGAGGAATGAGGAGAATGAGGAGCCATTGTAAACCCAAGGCATCAAAGATGTTGGAATAAACCCTTCCTCCAAGCTCCCTCTTCATAGGCCCCTACAACGGTTCAGTTCCACTGAAGGAGCTGCTTCGTTGGAAGACAAACGTTTGAAGACCCTGAAGCATGCCAACGCATTATTCTCGGGATTTCCAGTGCCACGGATCGACCTGACTGTTGCATCTTGGCGATCCTTAATCGCGCCCAAACCCTATTCTTGGGACATTGCAACACAGCGAATCATCGTAACTGCTGCGACCGCATAATCCAGAATCCTTCCAAGGCGCCAGTTCTGGTACGTTGATGATGGAACATCCGCGAAACTCGTGTAACAGTTAAGAACGAATGTGCGCGGCGCTAAAGCGAGAACCGCATCTTGAAAACGACCCGCCCTCAATCCGTGAAGCTCGTGCACATGTTTGAAACGATTGTGCGCGGCGCTAAGGCGAGAGCCACCGTGAAACTGTTGCAAATTGTAAAGCAAATGTGCGCCGCGCTAGGGCGAGAGCCATAATTTGAAAACCATCCGCCCGCAATCCGTGGAGGTCTAGCAAATTGTTTAATGCGAGTATGCGCGGCGCAGGCGAGAGCCACATTTTGAAAACGACCCGCCCTCAATCCGTGAAGCTCTTGCACATTGTTTGAAGCGAATGTGCGCGGCGCTGAGGCGATAACCGCATTTTGAAAGCCACACGCCCTCAATCCGCGAAACCCTAGCAGACTTTTAATACGAGTATGCGCCGCGTTGAGGCGAGAGCCACATTTTGAAAACGACCCGACTTCCGTATGTGAAACTGCTGCCACTTTCTAAGCTTCAGAATCATACATTGTGAGGAAATCTAAGGAGAAACGCCCAGCCCGCCGTAAAAACTGTCAGGGGGAAGTTTTTTATAAGGAAAATGGAAAGAGGATGAGGAGGAGGAGGAGGAGGATAATAAGGAGGGGGAGGAAGAGGAGGAGGAGGAGGAGGAGGAGGAGGCTCGAGTCGCGCGCATCCGTTGCCCGGTCGCCTCCCTCCTCATCCGTTCTCCCCTCTTCATTCCGCACCTTCCTCCCGCCCCTTACGCAATTGCCCCGGGCCCCTGCTTGGGCGGCTGCGCAGGCTGGCGGGGATGGAGAGCGACGTGAACATGGTCGCGGGCCACGACGAGGAGGAGGAGGGCGACGACATGATGAGGAGGGACGAGGCGGCGGCGGCGGCCGTGCCCCCCGGAGCAACCCAACTTGGCGGCGCAGTCGGCGCTGCTGCTGCCCCAGCCCCAGTTCCCAGAGCCGCCTCACGACCAGGGTGCGCGTGTGGACGGCTACCCTGCAGCCAGTGCGCCGGCGCGTGGCCCTGGGCTACGTCTGCTGCGAGGGGTGCCAGCCTGGATCGCTATTTCAGGCACCCCGCCTGCGTCCCAGGGGGTATCCCCGCCGGCACAGTGGGAGGCTTTGCGGGGGCGCAGGTCTTGGCCTGCGTGGCGGGCGGCGCGGCTGGGGCGACGGCCGCGGGTCCGACGGCGAACGCGCAGGAGGACGACCGCGCGCCGGCGGGCGACCTGGAGCCCCCCGCCGCACGGTGGCGGCTGAGAGGGGCGAGCTCCCTGGGCTCCTGTGGTGAGAGACACTCTGGACCTTGCAGGCGCGCTCCGCGTGCCAGTGCCGACCTGGGCGGCTGTTCCTGACTGCCTGGCGGCAGCCGTGGGCGAAGTTGCTGGCAGCCGCGTTCAACGCGGTTGCCGCGCGTGCTCTTTGCCATCCCTCCCAGGGGTGCTGACGAGCGGGGGGCCGCGCCTGCCGCGGAGATTCTTGCCGCGAGGATCCGGCGGGCGTGGGCGGGCGACCAGGCTGGCCGACGGCGCGCTCTGGCGATGGCGACGGAGGCGGCCGATGCCCGCCAGACCTGGCGGCGCAGGTCCACCGGGCGCGCGAGCTGCCGATGTTCGGGGAGGTGCCTGGGACCGCCGCGGCCGCCAGGAACCTTGGGAAATTCGCCTCCAGGGCCAGCGTGGGCTCCCAGCTCACCGCGCTCTTCCTCTCGGCTGGCTGACCGCGGGCGCGCGCGCCGCCGCTGCCGCGGGCGGGCACTGGGGAGTAGGCAGCTGCAGAGGAAGTGGCGCTATCCCTCAAGAGGTTCCCTCGGCACTCCGTCCTGGCTCGCTGGCGCGCGCTTCGAGCGTTGGGCAACCCTGCGTGGCCGCGCGGAAGGCAAGGCGGCGCTGGTGGTGGTGCTGGGCCGTATCCTGCGCTGCGCGGCGCCCGCGTCGGCAGCGCAGTCGTTGCTGAGCGGCCGCCTGATCCCGCTCCAGAAGCCACAGGGCGGGGCTCCGTAGCCATTTTGGCTCAAGCCATTTTGGCTCAAGCAACTTTGGCTCAAGGCAACATATCGGGGAACCCCCGCCTCGAGTGGTCGAGGTGGACCTGCGCGCGAGTGCGGTTCTGGAGACGCCCCCAGGACAGGAACCGCCGCATTCCCTTTCACTGTTTTTTCTCTTGCTACACACTACTCAGCATTTTGCCGAGTACCGTACCTTCTCTGCTGGTCCTTTCTCCCTCGGCGTAAGCTTAACGATAAGCTTGAAGAGAAGGAGGATCGTCGGTCCCGTCGGGAGCGTCGGGCTGACCGTGACCGCGAGCGTGATAGCTCCACTTCCTCGGTTGGCTCCCTTCGTCACGTCCCGATCAAGCATCGTCATTCGAGCCGCAGTCGGTCTGGAGGTGCTCCTTCGACTCCGAGTGCGAGTTCGACTGACTCGAAAATCGACCTGCTCATCGGCAACTTGGAATCCTTGTCCCAGCTCCCAGCTGGTGAGCACGCAGTCGTCTGACCTGAGCTGCCTCGAGGATGCGCGCAAAGCATCGGTGGATCGCTGTGCCGCGCTCGCTGACCAGATGACCATGATGAACCGTGAGTGCTACACCTAGCACCAGGAGTTACAGGCGTCCGTTGCGGCCTCTCTGAATGCGCTTGACTATCGGATGGGCGTCATGGGGCAGGGTGGTGCCGACGCAGCTATGGCTGGCGCGGAGTCGGCTTTGATGGACAAGGTAACGGCGATTGAGGGCTCCTTGTCTGAGCTCGCGCGCCGACAGGCATCATCTGAGAAGTGCATCGCCGACCTCATGTCGACTCCGACGCCGCCGTCTACTTCGCCTCGTGTGGGGGGCTCGGGCGCTGCTGTAGGCCATGGCCACGAACGTCATCAGCATGATGTGTGCAAGCTGGTCTTGCTGGGCTTCCCTCGTCCTTTCCTCGTGGCTGACCTCCGCAGGATCGGGGCTGCACGTGTGAACCAGTTCGCCCCGCAGAACAGCCAGGGCAAAATCATTGTGCGCGCATTCGACCTCAGCAAGAAGATCACGTTCACGTTCGAGACCCCCCTGGCGGCTACCCGCTTCCTCGACGCGTTCGCGGCGGCGGGTGGATCGCGGGCCTTCCCTGGCCCGCTGCGCGTGCAGCAACCCCTAGTCCTTCGCCTTCGGCGTGACTTGGATTTCAACGGACGGCAGCTGCATCTGTTTCTCGGGCGCGCGCGCGCCTTACTTGCCGACCTTTTTGAGCCCAAGGGCCTCGAGGTTGGAAACGCGGGCCTTGGTGGCTCTGTTTATGTTTTGCGTTCGCCCCATGACCCCGCCCCCCTTGTCAAAATCTTTGTTGGGGAGGACGGCTCGATCGACGCCCAGATCGATCGCGATGCCTTCTTAGAATTCAATATTTTGGAGCACTCGGCCCGCGTCGCTGCTGCAGCGAATGTTCCTTAGCGGCGCCCCTTTCGGCGCTGAGGCGGGCAGTGATGAGCGCGCCGGTGCTGTCTCCCCCTGTGATCTAGTGTTCGCCCGACGGGCCTCGGGAGAGCTCTGGGCGAACACCTCCTCCTCCTCCTCCCCCTTCCTCCCCTCCTCTGGCGTGGGGCTCTGCACGTGGAACGCGGAAGCGCTCTTCTGCTCGGTCAAGGCTAAGTCTTGGAGGGCCTCTGCAACATATAAGCGATGCATCAATATTTTATTGCATGACTCACGACATCATCACAGTACAGGAAACACACGGGCATGAAGGGGGCGTTGATGAGCTCGCTCATGAGTTGGGCCCCCACGCATTCGGCTATTCGTTTTTTGGAGACTCCACTAGGGAAGGTGGAGTTGTGACGGCAGTGTCGGCGCGGCTCGTCTCACAGTTCTCTCAGATCGACCACTGCCCGATC